CCTCCCTCCCTCCCTCCCTCCCTCCCTACCGCCTGTCAAGTCCAGTCCGACATCTTTCCCATCGTCCAGCCCGCTGTCAAAGCGCCACGAAACGCGTTTATTGCTGCCGACGGGATTAAGAAATAAGGGAAGGAAGAATGTTGGTTTCCGGGGACAAGAATGAAAGGAGGGAAAAGCCCATGTCGAGACGGAAAGGGAGGATCAAAGTCGCGTGCAGGTCTATGGAAGGGAAGGGAGGGAAACCAGGACCTGGGCATGCGTCCACTCCGTTGCGCTTCGTAGAAGAGCATCGAGAACTGCAACGATTTCGCCAGGTTGAACTTCTCTCCCTCTACGGGCAAGTGCACCGTGACACCGGGAGGCTCCATGTGGAGGGGGCGGGGGGGAGGACGAGAGGGAGGAAGGGCGGTGGGATCGTAGGAGAGGTAGCTCTCCAAGACATGCAGGGGGGAGCCTGCACACGAGCCTTGCCAAGCTTGCCATTGAAAGCCTGAGGGGGAAAGGAAGGGAGGGGTGGAGGGAGGGGGTGGAGTAAGAATGGAGAAGAGGGTGGAAGGGTAGAAAGCACGGGGGAGAAATAGAGGAGCGCTTGGTGCTGATATAATCCACAGAAAATGACAGGTCTGAGACCGATTCCCCACCCTCCCAACAGCTTGCAGACTCCTCCCCCTTTTTCCTCCCTCTCCCCCCGTCCCCGGCATCTCTAACCCGGTTTGAGGTCTTGATTCCACTCCTTGGGCCCGAAGATGAGGGTGGTGTTGTCCGCGTTGTGCTCGATCAGGTCCTGACGAAAGGGGGGGGAGGCGAGGAAAGAGAAGGCAGGAGCGAGGGAGGGAGGGAGGGAAGGAAGGAGGTGACTTACACACCTCTTCTCCAAGTATCATTGCAGAATGATCCATTCAAAAAACCCTGTTCCCGTCCACCTCCTCTTCCTTCCCTCCCTCCTCCCTTTCTCACCGCCTCCAGGTTCTGGATCATGAAGATGGTCTTGTCAAATCGCAAGGTGATGTTCCAACCCTGAGTCGCAGTAGGTGACGGGACGCGTGGTGGGACAAGGAAAAGGGTCCCTTCCTTCCCATCCTCTTTTCTCCCTGTGCTTCAATTTCTTCGACTACATCTTTTCCCCATTCTTTCCCACAGTGGTTTCCTTCTTGGTGACCCCTTCCACCTAAAAGTCCCTCTCTAATGCACTACTTCGTCCGCCCTAGGAGGTATTACCCGCGTAGTCGACCTCAGCACGGCGCTCTCATCCTCTCCCTTGTCCTTCTCTCCATCCTTTCCTTCCTCCTGACTTACATCATAGACAGGCTCTGGGAGGTCGATGGCGAATTGCATCAAGAAGAAATCTGTCCCGTTCGCCGCTATCGAAGGGCCTGAACCTCCACTCACACCCAAATCTATGTGTTTCACCTGAAGAAAGTTGCAGGTACATGAATACAGAGGAGAGAATATACACAGGGAGAGGAGAGGGGGAGCAGACGCGGAAGGCAAAGGTAAGAAGCACCCACCTCAGTGTTGACCTGCACTCGCCTGTTATGTGATGCAATCCACGCCGAGCGTGAAATAAAATCATTAGCTGAAAATTGAAAACCATCCTTCATTTTCAGTACTTCCACACACACATGCACAAGCACCTGTCCTTCTTGTTCCGTCCTCCCTCACTCCTTCCTGCGGCCTACCTTAGTTTGGGAGGAGTCGCGCATTGCTCGGCTGCCACGACCGAAAAGGCTGTCCATGCCACAAGGGCAATTAGTGGCTTCAATATCATGTACATACAGAAGTGCCTGCTATGTCGTGCAAGCGTCGAAGGAGTCGTACTGTTAATATGTAATGACTAAATACATATGTATGATGAGAACCTAACAGGATCACAGGAGACTTTTTGTGTACATCAAGAGAAGTAAGTCATACAAATTAGAATGTTACAACCTGTGCAGCGCTCGATTGAGGACAATTTCTAAATTGAAAAGGATGACAACAACTCTATCGCGGGCAAATCGTGCGGATTTCCTTTCACACGGCGTGTGTGAGGGATGGACTGTTCTTTATGGGCTGGTGACGGCCTCCACTACACAGGCAAGCAGTGAACGAGACTCAACCAGGCAGCACGGTCAAGTCCATAACAACGGATAAATTATGCCCAGATACATGGGGATCAGATTACATGTGGATCGGTGCGGTCATAAACGTCTCGGATTGACCCATGGCATCATTATTGAAATCGCTCGGACAGTGGGTCTTCCTAAGCTTCAAGCCTCGCTAAACTGAGCGACCTTGCTCCTAAATAAGCTGGAAAAAACAGGACGGCATTTTTGGAAGCAGTGATCCAGCCCACATCTTACCGGCAATCGAATGCAGCAGCATAAATTAGAGCAATGCAGTAGGATCCCTTCAACATTCGATCAGGTCAAAGGCATTGGAGCCAAGCAATGGTCCGACTCCCCAGTGAGTGCGAAACTTGCGAGTGCGAGTGCGTTCGCACGAGTGCCCCGCTCGGATGGCCGAGTGCCAGACCCAAATCACGCTTCTTACATTGTACAGCCATTCACAGATGCACACGACGAATGAGAGCATGGATCTAATCGGGATGCATTGAGAGAGTAAGAACGATAGAATGATAGTATGAGTTAGGTTTTGCGTCAGTATAAAGTGGTTGGGGGTGAATCAAGGATCGATTCGACGAGTCACCGAAAGGGTCAAGGCTACGGTTGGGTGGGGGTGAAGTGATCAGGTGGAAATACTGTGCCTTGCTCACGATGGAGGGAGGACATGTGCTTACAGACTCGATTTTACAGCAACAATGAGTCGGAAGCCATGCCATATGACGGAAGTCACGGTAAACTACGTAAGTCGAGGCACTCAGGCGCTCACACGCCCTTTGAGCGACGGTTGTTCTGACCTCCCTGACTCCACGGGCCCCAGCCAAGCCCCAAGTCCTTGCTCATTTGGCCTCTGGAACCACACCAGGAGCGCTCTGTGGCCCTTACACGGCTTGGGAATGTTTTTTTAAATCGTAATTTATCCTCACTGCGACAACCTCTTGTGTACATTCAACTTTACACTGCCTTTGCGGAGTAACTCTAATAGTGGCAGTTACTCTGATGCCATGCCGAAAGCCGTTACCTTGGCTGGCCTTGTTAATGCGATGATTTCTCCTTTATGGAGTCCGATGAATAAGGAGGCTAACAACGTTGATCAAAATCTTATGAGATCGCTTTCGTGGGGGCTTTTCTGAGGGTGTTCACGCCAACAGCTTAATATTTTACGAAACCGGAAGTAGTAGAAAGGCGCCTATCTTACACACGATTTGAGAACCCCATGTGAGCAGCGCAGCAGACTTATTGAGCACACTCCCATAACCACATACTTTTAAACCAGTTGAATTAGCTTCGTGTCCTGATAACGATATTCCTTCATGGAAAAGACTCATCGCCGTCAGAGCAGTCGGCTTTTTGGACTTAAGTCGGCAGCTATTGCTGGTTTGATGCTCATGGCTTGCTATCGACTCTTCGGGAAGACGTCCTCAACAAACATTATTAAGGATCCAAAGCCTTCGAATGAGATCGAGGAATTCCCTTTTGACGAGAATTCCTTCTCCGAAGCTTATGGCGATAGCTTCGAGCTTTTTCGTCCTTGGTACGCTATTTCCTCCGGCATACATCAGGTCCCCAAGCTTTTGGCGCCACCAGAGTCTTGGATTGAGCAATTGAGCCTCAGACTTAATTATTTGGACTCCAAAGTTAGCGCGGACACTGATCGATCCGTATTGACACGTGCCAGGGCTGCTTATCTTGAGTTTATGAAGCGGTACGTGTCAGGACTAGCGTATGGGCCCGAAGAGCTAAGTGTGTCATATGGTGGTGTTTTGCGTCCGTTTCAGCCTGGTAAGAGGGCACAGGGTCTGGACTGGGCTTACCTCGGTGTGACCATGACCGGCGAGCTCCGCCTTGACAATGTCAGGCTCTTGCTGGAGGACGTGGTATCTAGAAACATCCCAGGGGACTATATAGAGACCGGGGTATGGCGGGGAGGATCATCCATTTTTGCGCGTGCTGTGCTGCGGAGTCTCAATGAGGGCGGTCGAATGTCATATGTCTGCGACTCTTTTAAGGGTCTGCCACCCGGAGATAAGAATTTAATTCCCTCTGATCGGAATTGGAATATGAGGCCCTATCTTGAGGTGGCCGACGAAGAGGTTGCCAAAAACTTTCGAGAAGCTGGAGCATTGGACCCGAACGTTGTATTTGCTAAGGGGTTTTTCAATGAGACGATGCCTCCCTTAGCCTCTCGGATCAAGAGACTTGCTGTCATGCGTCTGGATGGAGATATGTACGAGTCTACCGTGGACGTGCTCTATCATCTCTACGACAAGCTCAGTGTGGGAGGCTATGTGATTCTTGATGACTGGACTGGCTTTCCAGCCAAGAAAGCTTGCGAGGACTTCTTCCGTGTGCACAACATAAAGCCAGAAATCAACGACATTGATAAATTGGCAGTGTATTGGAAAAAGACAGAGGACGTTGAAATACAATACTGGCGGTACGAGCAAATGAATTTCAAGTAAGGAGGAACACGAAGGATGGAAGCTGACACCGACCATGATTGTAAGGAGGCGATTTCTTTACTTGACCCCAACGTGATCGGACACGAGAACAGAACCAGGAGATATAGCTGAAGATTGAGGAGGTGTCATTTCAATCTTGCAATAATACAAAGGGATTACATCAGGATAAATATTGAAAATGGAGTAAGGCTTACGGAAACACGGGTGATCATCAGGGCAAGGGGCATCGTGGATGATAAATGTACCGGCAAAAAGAAAGACGTGGTCACTCCAAATGAAGATGGTTTGTGCTCTGTAGTATTCAGCTAAATGCCATGTATGGTGATCGCATCATGCGTGGCAGAAGAAGTGTCATGGTCTTGCTCACGCTTAGACTAATAAATTCAAACTTCATCAGACTAGTCCTTTACGCTTCCACAGAACAGGATTCTACCTCCACCAGTGGGAGACTTATACACCGTCTTTATTTCAAGCGTTAGCAGAAAGTCAGAGTACATTCCAAATTCAGTTGCATAGCGGGTGCGTTTGTTCTCACGCCGTCATCAGAATTGTTGAGGGTATGCGGATCTCCATCTACAAGCCCACTTGGTTATCATGATGGATTCATCCAACCACTTAATCAAACATCGGCCATGAACTCGGAGCTTATCATTCTGGTCCCTCGTCAATGCCCGAGCTTTTTGAAAGGTGCTTGAACCAGAAGCCAGGGTCCTAACGTGGGCACTTCGATATGGTCAGCCGATATGAGACATTATTGTGTTGCGTAGTGTCCGTTGCACAAGCAGACATCGTAAAATCACCGTTAGAAAGCTTTTCGTACAATTTAGTAACGACACTCTTTCCTGTTTCCCTTCTTCAGTGAGGTCCTTTGCCTTGCATCGATCTCAACCTGTTTCACGATAGACGAGTGCTGGTTACTACTAGAAGGGGTGTATCAAGCCCTCAAATAAGTCAGATCAAGCCTTTTGACTATGACACATGCCTTCATCCATAAAGTTCAGATGCCGTATCCTTTTGTCTTTCATATGGCTGCATTTTTTTCATGTTTTCATGTGTATTTTCGAACGCCATATTGACTGCCACACCTGCTTCTGCTCTTCGAAACGATCTCCTGCAGACCTTCCCGTCAATTTAGTCATTTCTCGCTGTTTTTTTTTTAAGTTCTGTGTAGCCCTGTCCAACACTGATTGATAATAAGGTCTGATTGCTTTTCTATCGCCCAGTTGTTTCAAATTTTATGTGTTGTGGAAAATGTTCGAGATCGAACCACAAGCCCTGGATTTACCGCGACATAAGGTTTTAAAATCGAGACCAACATCATCGCATGTTAATATTCGAGCGCTAAATCTTATCAAGCTTTCATTTTGCATAGGAATCTCCCCCAAGGTAACGGAGGTTAAAGTCTCCCATGGTGTCTGCATGCTGGTTGAAAAGCACAGAAGTGAACGGCAGAAGTGAAAAAAACGAACTCTTCTCAAGGATCGACCACTATACTGGCCTTCTTCCCTATAAATCAAAATTGTTGGCCACTGGTAGGATCTAGTATAACCTTACGGTAATAAAGACAGTTGTTCACAGAGTCATTAGCTGCACCGTTATTGGTCAAGAAAACAAGATCTGCTGACCATGATGATAAACAGGACATATAAAGGAGTTGGTTGTGCGGCTTACAGACCTCTCAAAAGAGTAATTGTCAGAAATGCTAAGCTCGAGCCGTCGATGTCCAATTTATTTTTAAGTGCACTTTTCATCTCGACCGGTTAAAATCTCTGAGCAGACACGGAATGTTACGAGGTAAGTTGTGTGGGATTGTCGAGACTTCGGCAACGGAATGCCGTCCCTATGTGTGTAGACGCTTCCGGCTACGAATGTGTCCACTGACAAACCACGGAGAGAAAAGGGAGAGGAAGGAGAAGGAAGACGTGTTATTATCCGTGCAGAGTCTCTTCAGTCGCTCTAAGACTCTTTGTCTCTACGGGGGGAGGTTTAGTTTAAAATGGATATTTGAAGGAACATAGTCGAGCAGTGAAGGCTGTTTCCCGATGCATTCTCTTGAATTTTTAACAACGCTAGTAGACTCATTTGCGATAATGGAAGATGCGTGCAGTTCCCAACTTACTCTCCCTTTTTGAACGTGTCCGTTACTACTTCACTCTTATCCCGCCTTTCTTTCTCCCTCCCTCCCCCCCCACTCATGCCGGTAGTCTCAGCACAGCCCGGGTCATGGAGCGTCGAACTTGCCTGTATACAAGGAGACTTACTCAACGGCAAAAAAAATGGCAAGATGGCTTCCTCTTCCTGAATCGAAGTTCTGGTAAAGTGCACATCAAGAGCGAGAATGGGGTGAGTGCAACAGAGCCCAAACGCGTGTGTCTGACGCATCGGGTTTTCCACGATGGTGCCTATGTGAGGTCCTTAAATGATATAGAGGTGGTAAATGGTGTCTCTGACTTTTAATTTCCTTGACTTTACAACGGGATCGATCGCCCCGAACCTCCGCTGCCTTGAAATATCAGGAGGCGACAATTCACTCCGCGCTCCTGAAGCCGATCGAGGTCGCAGACTGGGCAGAGGGAGACGAAATAACGGTGGAAGGCATGCTCCTGGTTTCCGTGGGGGAAGTTTTGGAAGAAAATGGTGCGGCAAGACAGGGGCAGTTCGGTGAACTTCCCGACTCATGTCATTTTACCGCCACAAGGGTGCCGGTACATGCCTTTGCAACGCACCTCTCGTCCGTATCTCCTCTGCCCTCTACCTCAATGTCTTCTCTCACGGGAATACAGCGATGCTTTCTGAGGCCGCGGGCCCCCCTGAGAGTATTTCCAGAAGAGGGAAGCACAGGGACAACGCGGCCGCGCTTTGTCTCGCCGGTCATGCAGAGACCCCCTTCTGGCGATGTGGTTATGCCCAAGAGAGATCTTCCCCAAGAAGAAAGAGCCATAGGAGGACGCGAAGAAGGGGAAATGGGGGAGGGAATAGACACGGCAGGAGACAGAACAAGGAGTGTCTTGGGAACCAGGAGTGTACTGCCCCACAGAATTCGGAGCAAGTTTGTGGGAAGGGGTTTGGGATGGAACATCGAAGGGGGAACGGATGGAAGAAAAGGGGGAGAAACAGAAAAACAAGGGAACGGGAGAAGGGAGGATGCTGACGGTAAACAGTCGCTCCCATCTCATTCGCCGCCTCAGAGGTTGGCTGGCGGAGCTGTGCCCTCAGCTGTCGCCTCAGGGACGAGGTCCCCGCCAAGCTCGAGAGTCCTGCAGTCAAACGTCCCCTCCTCCATCTCGGCCCCTTCTGTCTTCTCCTTTCCTCCCTCTTCCTCGTGCGCCCGTCCCCCTCCTGCTTTCCTTCCTCCCTCATCTGCTACTTCTTCCTCTTCCTCCTCTTCCTCCTCTTCCTCCTTCTCCTCTCCGTATTCTGTCTTATCTCCTTCCTCCTCCGCTTTTTTCCGAGCGAGTACCACCTGCCTGGAATTCATGACCCCCGCTGTGCGCGCCCGATGGCCGGTTCTACGGTGAGGAAGGGATGGAGGGAGGCCTCAAAGACAGGGAGGAGGAGCCCGCAATGTTGTCCGGGAGGGTCTAATCCCTCCATCCAGCCTCCGCTTCTCCGACCCGCCCTTTCTTTATTCTTCCTCCTTCTCTACCTCCTTAGGCATGTCATTCTCCCCACTTCCTACCCTTCCTCAGCGGACTATGTGGACGCCCTCCTCGCTGCCACCACGGA